TGTCTTTATGAGTTCCATAACCAGAAAGGGTATGAGATGAAAGTAGGCGCCAGCCAGTTCCATGTGGCCTGGACTGGCAGTTTGGGCCTGTCACTGATGGGCAGGAGTTGCAAGGGGGGTTTCAGCTTAATTTTATGAAGCTCTACTATAAAGATCGCATATCTGGGGACCTAAAGGGATGGGAGAGAGTTAGAGTTGTCCCTTAGAGACATTCAGAAGCTCAAAGTCTACCTACCTGACAGAGAACGCTCCTGTCCAGGGGATGTAGGTATTGGAATAGAGTGGAGGCACAGCAGGAAACAACTTGGTTCTAAACCCTTGTTGAAGAGAAACACCAGTGCTGTTCAAAAAATACAGATTCCACCCTCACTAATTAATTGAAAATCTAATTAATCAATATCTCAAGAATGTGGTTGGAGAATCTATTTTTTCAAAGCTTACCAAGCAGATTATTCTAGATTGAGACTAGATATAATAATATGAATCTTAACAAAACCTGTATTTAAAAAAAAGCCTAAGACATTTTGGAACACTTAGGCAAATTTTAATAGCTAATTATTAGATGGTGTTGAATTGATAGTTTTCTTAGATGTGATATTTTAGAAATATAGAGGAAACCCCTATTCCTAGATAATACAAGCTGAAGTTTTTTTTGTTTTGTTTTGTTTGAGTTGGAGTTTCCCTCTGCCGCCCAAGCTGTAGTGCAGTGGCACGCTCACGGCCACCGCGGCCTCGACCTGCTAGGCTCAGGTGATACTTCTGCCTCAGCCTTCCAAGTAGCTGGAACTACAAGCACACACCACCACGCCCGGCTAATCATTTTTTTTATTTATTGTAGAGATGAGGTCTCGCCAAGTTGCCCAGGCTGGACAAGCTAAGTATTAAAAAATGAAATGTCATGTCTCCAATTTACTTTTAACAACAGATTCTTATTTTTTTTTAACTTTAAATTCAGGGGTCCATGTACAGATTTGTTACATGAGTATATTGCATGATGGTGAGGTTTGGGCTTCTATTGACCCCATCACCCAAATAGTGAATATGGTACCCAATATATAGTTTTTCAACCCTTGACTCCTCCCTCCCCCCCTTCAGGAGTCCCTAGTGTCTGTTGTTCCCATCTTTGTGTCCCTGTGTATCCAATGTTAACATAGAATTCTTTTAAATGGTTCAAGAAAAAAAAAGAGGAGACAAAATTTTTGGAGTAGGGACAATCACTATACTCTTCTTTCAACTTTTCTGTAGGTTTGAAATTTCTCACAACAAAGTCAGGGTTGGGGAGAATTAAGCTATTAGGCTATTCTGATGTGAGCTAAACATTAGGCCCGCTGGGCAGGCTAACCTCTGCTACCCCATCTAGCCCGAGAGCCTGGAGCCTATCTGTATTCTCTGCGGCTTACAGATTTAGTTCTGTCCTGGAGCAGTGCCATAGCTGAGGCCACAGTGACCCCTAGAGGTATACTGTGAACTCTTGGCCACATCACCACATTCAGGAGCAGGAAAGAGAAGTGCCTGTCCACAGCCCCACTGCCCTGAATTGTATGGGGCCTAGGTCACTGCAGTTCATCTTGCCTGGCCTTCATGACCTGAAGGTGAGCTAGACTAGAAGAAGAACACTAGATCCCTGTTAGACAATCTCAAAGAACGATGACAGCCAGAAAAGCAGGTCCAATCGAGAGGACTGGCATAGGAGCAGGAGTTCCATGCCTCATGTCAGGCCAGCCCTGACCAGCTCCAACGGAATAAACTAGAGCAAGGATCCAGGAGGAACCAGGTGAGCTGGGAGGGCCCAGAAGGGAGGATACACAGGGTGAAGGTATCAAGGGGTAAGCAGGGAACAGAACTACAGACCTTTGGGCACAGAGACAGGTCCAGGGATAGGCTGCCAATGAGGAGTTCGCAGTTCATAGAGTTCATGTCAATGACACATACTCAAAAGGATGAGGCCGGGGAATGCAGGTGACATGGCATTATTAAAGGTCATTCCAAGTGTAGAGCTCAGCCTGCAGGCCAAATCAAAGGCTTGAAGGGGGGACGGAAGTTTTCAGTTGTTTGGAGGTCTAGGTGCTAGAGCAGAAATGCTAGCACGTGTATAAGGGGCCAACACGCATTCTCCTAACCTTTGCTACATACAACACTGGTGAAATAGCCTCAATACAGAGACAAAGAGTTTGAAATTTCACAATAAAGGTGTCACTGAGGGTGGAGAAAGATTAGGGATGGGGGTTTCCGGCAACAGAGTCTGCCCAGACTGATAGTTCCCCCAGAGCAGCCTTTTTCCTCAGAACTGGGACGCTCTGCAGGCAAATGGAACAGAAGGCAGAGTCTCAGGCTCAGCTTGGGAATTCAGCTGGCTCCAGGGAGGTACCAACTGGATGGTGATCTGCTCAGGCTTGGTTGGTAATTGGATGTTTCCACACCTGATGCTGGGGAGAGACCTGGGGATCTGCCGCATTTGAGGGCAGAAAAATCAACAGTCACACTGAGGGGGCTGAAGTGATCTGACGAGGGGAAAATCCTAAGATCTAACCAATATTTACATTTCAAGTTTGTTTGGGGGGACTTTTAACAAAAGTGTTGAGATAACAACTCAAGCAACACCGTTATACCCCAATACAATTTTTCTGTATCCAAATGAAGATTGGTAGACTGCAATTTTGTTTTACAAGCTCTTACCTCTATTTCATAAGAAATAGCATCTTTCATAGAACATAAAAACCTAAGACATTTTAATTTACTGATCTAAAAAAAAAATCAACATTCTCTACGATCTAAATGGAGAGTGAAAAGACCAAGAAAACTAACTCCAAGGCTGCTGGGCAATTCCGGTCAGCAGAACAGAGAAGAGCAGAGACAAGGAAAGAGAGTCAGGGGCTCATCTCTAGAGATGGGCAGTAGGTACCCTAGGACTTATCGACAGAGCTGCGCCCTCAGATTCAGAAGAAACACCCAGGTCCCACCAGCACCACCACCCTTCCATCGAGGAGAGAAGACAGATATTTGGTCACAGTGACATTTTGGCTCTACATCCCTGAGAACTGGCACAAGCTAACAGGGAACAGTGTGACAGAACAGGATGATATTAATCAGGCTACTGTGTTCTGACCCCTCAACTTCTCTTGTTTACCCAAATAAAGGAGTAGAACAAGGTCAATCATTATCATCTTACCTTTATCTTAAAGACTTGGCATTTCTGTTAGAGACAAACACACCACCACCACCACAATTTTTCATGTAATACCACTTGGAAAGACAGCAGTGGTATGACAGACTTAGACAAGTTCTAATGCCCCAAGACATTTTACTGCTGACACTTAGGAGAGTCGATGAGTGTAAACCCAAATCTAGAGATCTGGCTCAGGAAAACAGTCACCATTTCCTCCAGAGATACTAACTGCCTCTGGACCTTTGGCCCAAAGCACCATCTGCCCTATAGCATCCAGGCAGACACAGAAGCAAGCCAAGCATAAGATGGTGACTCTGTTGGCAGGCCCTTCTTGGGTTTTTTTCTTTTTCTTTTGTTTGAGTTGGAGTCTCACTATGTCGCCCAGGCTTGAGTGTAGTGCCACGCTCACAGCCACCACAGCCTCTACCTGCTGGGTTCAGGCGATCCTTCTGCCTCAACCTTCCAAGTAGTTGGAACTACAGGCATGCATCACCATGCCCAGCTAATTTTTTGATTTACTGTAGAAGTGAAGTCTCACCAAGTTGCCCAGGCTGGTCTCGAGCCCCTGAGCTCAGGCAATCCTCTAGCCTCGACCTCCCAAAGTGCTGGGATTACAGACTTGAGCCACTGCACCCAGCTGGGTTCCCTAATCTTAAGAGCAAAAAGCTCACCTGGAAATCAAGGAACACACCGATTTGGCACCATCTGGTCACTAAAAGAACTGCATCCCTGGAGGTAAGCAGAGGTCTGGTAAACCCCACAAAGTATTGTCCTCTAACTCCCGAATATCTGCTCTCTCTCTTCCCAAGGGTTCAATTCAGAGGACATTATAATCCCTTTTGCTCACATAACAGGCAAGAAACCAAATACTTTTGCCAAGCAGGCCTCAGGCCCAGATACGCAGAGAAATAGGCATATACTTCTGAGTCAAAAGCCTCTGTCAGGGAAATTTTCAATCTACTTCAGATGTCTTTCTTCTCTTAGCCCTATATGCCGAATATTTTGTGGGTATTAGTTGGAAAGGTGAAACCTGGACAAGACACTAAGCTCCCTAAGCCTCAATTTTCTCACAGGCAAAATGGAGATAGTAGTATTTACCTGAGAGAGTCATTGTAAGAACATGCATGTAAAGCACTGAGCCTAGTACATAGAACACATAAAGTGAGCAGAAACTGAAGTTGCTGAGTGCTTCACAGACAAGTGAAGGAATAGCAGGTTCATAAGAGGAGAAACAAGAAACAAATATATAGTACATGTGGACAGGACAGCACACAGAGGGATTTCTAAAAGCCATCTGCAAGGACAACTCAGGTCCTAGGGGAAAAAAACAAACAACAATGAGTTCCAAAAAGGCTGAGCAGATACATCAAAAACAATGGATGGCTTAGAGGCATGAAACTAAACAGTGCCCTCACATACTATACTTCCAAACTGACACAAATGCAATGTCATCTGTGGACAGTCTTCCTGTTAACTTGTCACAAGAGCAGTCCTCAATCTGCAGGTGTCACAGATTCCTTAGTAATTAGTTCCAAAGTCTAATAAAATACCCACAAAAAAATGTACAGCTCTTTCATCTTTTGGGGGGATTTTCAGTTGTAAATTTAGGATTCCATCATTCTTCAAAACAAAGTCACTGATAGCCAAGGGTGGTGGCATGCACCTGTAGTCCCAGCTACTCAGGAGACAGAGGTGGGAGAAATGCTTGAGCCCAGAAGTTCAAGGCTGTAATTGAACTACAACCTGAACGACTCAGCAAGACCCCATCTCTTAAAAAAAGAAAAGAAAAAAAGGGCAAAAAGCAAGTGAAATATATTCGCCTGAAGAGGCTCACCTTCTTCATTACATGTGATATCACACATCTTCTGAGATAAAAGCTAGGAGGGCTTTCTTGTGTGGGTGCCAGACTGCTCCTTAGCTTTGAGTTCTTCTAGTTTTTTCTCATAGCGACTCATGAAGTAATCATCTGGTTCAATCCCTGCAGCCTTCAAATTTTCCATGACCTTTTCGAGTCTGAGCACCGATCGGGCTCCCTCAATCTTTCTTGTGCTCAAGTATAAAGTAAACTCCCGGAAATCCAGGAGCTTACAGGTGTCCAAAGAGCAGAGATTCCTGATGTCACAAGTTCTATCCAAATGAGGAAAAAACACCAGTCCTGACAACTTCTCTAGGTCCTGGAGGCTCACTTGGAATTCAGTTAACTGGGGATGGAAGCTAATGGCTTCATTGGGTACCACGAAGGCCCCTAGTGCCAGTGGTTCAGTGGATCCTGGGCTTCTGCGCGCCAAGATCACCTTATAAAGATGTGTGGGGACTGCCACATTGTCTTCACCAATCACCTAAAAACAAAGCAGCCGTGTTAATGATGCACATTTGTGCCAACAAGTTCCCGAATTTTTTCCTGAAAAAACTTACTTCCTGCATTTCCAAAAATGTACTTATAAGCCACCCATCGCATCCCAATTAATATAAATTCAACTGCCAAAGATAATAAACCAAAATACAGATTCACAGAAAAGATGAGTATGCAAGAGGTCAAATCTGATCATATTCTTTAAAATAATGCCACCCCAAAGAGCAGGGGTCACAATCTATGCTCTATGTCCTATATAGGACAAAGGCATGCCATGACTGGTCTTTTAATGGACAAGAAAAGCTGTCATTTTCTCTTCATCTCATAATCAGAACTTCTGATGTTCTAAACATTCCAAGGTCAAAATTGCTAGCGTGGGTACTCCCAACTCTGGAAATAAAAATATGGCCTCAATTTATCCAATTCACTAGGAAACTAAACAAACAGCCTTTAGAGAAGCAGCAAAAATGTAAATGCTGTTTGTTCAGAGTTTTGCACATTCTGGGGCTTACTATCAAACACAGAACTTCCGAGTATGTTGTCAAATTAAATACTTTGGAAAAGTATCCACACAATAAAGAAACCAGAGCCAGTGTCAGACTTGGAAAATATAACTCAGTTGCCTGTGTGATTCAGTTGTATTAATGAAATAACATTATTATGAAACTTTTTTTTCCTTCCAATTGGCTTAAAAGCCCTATCTGTTTTCTGAAAAGAAAAGAAAAAAAAAAAAACCTGAACATCTACTTACTTAATGGTCCCCAATAAAACGACATAATCCAACTCAAGTATGTTCGTGGTATTACTGTTCCTCCCAGGCCCTACCTTGGTGAGAGTGGGTTTTCTTGCCTGATCAGACAGTTCTGCCTGCTGCAGGATCCCTTGTTGGGAGCCCAAATAAAGCAGAGGGATGAGAGCTACAAAGGAGGACTCTTCTGTTTTCCCCAAGCTCCTACCTACATGGCACACAGCCTAGAAGCCCCACGGCCATCTGCTGTGTGTAATACATGGAAGTCTCACTGCCAAAAACAACTGCAGGGCTGCAGACAAGACCCATCCACGGAATGATTTCTATAATTAACTGTCTTTGAAGTTACTGAAGGTGGTTCGTCAGGGTATGGCGGAGAGTGAAACTACACAATCTACAGACAACAAATCCCCATCCCTACCCCAAAAGTCATTTATGCAGCTGGAAAAATACCCTTCAAAGCAAAAAATATACTGAGTGTGAACCCTGTGAAGGTCCAAATTTAGCCCACAGATCACAAATAGATGTTAATTCAATGATGCAACTCAGAGGATCTGGGCCTGGCACTGCTGGAAACAGAAAGGAACAAGCTTTGAAGTAAGCGCAGCTGGCCTGTTCTCAAGAAGCTTACCATCTAGAGGGGAGTCAATACCTTCAGCTTTCACCACAGACAGAATGTGGTTAGATGGCAAGACAAAGCACAAATAACAGCACTAATGGGGCTCAGGGGAAGTTGGGGACCAGAACTGAGGGCACAGCTGCACTGCTGAGCCAGAGTTTACAAAGGTGAAGTTGAAATGGGCTTCAAGTGTTCCCAACAAGTTCTTGGTGCCACCTTGTGGACATTTCCCATCATTGCAACAGTTCTCATTTCAGCCTCAAGCCATCAAGGCCATTCTTTCACTTGACTCACTTGACTATTTTCTCTCCTCATGGACTCTTGTTTACAAACAATTGGCAATTTTCAATAATAATTAACTGGTCATACCCATTTGCTGCCAACCAGAGTTTCTAATCAGGCTCAACACTAAATTCCAGCCCAAAGTAAAGAAGTGTGACATTTTAAGTTCCACAGATTTCATGAAAATGTACCATTTATATAGATTCTTTAAAACCCTCACAGCTTTCAGAGGATCTCCATTACTACTTTTGAGAAACCTCCTGAACACAGAAATTCCTACTGAGGACCACAAGGTGTGATCCTTCTACCCATGACCTTCTCACAATATTTCAAAGGGGTAAAATACTATCCCTAGAAACAAGGAGAAAAATAAAAACTTAGTCATTCACTATTTATTCTCTGATTCAGTCTGCTTTGATCTTAGGAAGCAAACATCTTTAACCAGTCTAAAACTGGGACCAGTCCTATTTGGAAATTCAGAAAACCCACTTAAGACTTAATTTTTTTTTTAATGTAGACTTAATTTTTTAAAAATCTTAAGATTTTTAGAGCTATCGTCTTTTTTTATAGACAACACAACTTGCACAATAAACTTTTTCTACTTTTGGAAAAATTGGAAGACCTCCGAAAATGTTTCTAGACACTAGCATACTAAAGCGGAATGGTTCAGTGGATTGGAAGCCCAGAGATCTGGTCAAGTCCTGATTTTGCCACTAGGCTGCAAGTCATGCCATTTCTTGTTTCATTTATAAAACAGGAAACAGTCATCCTCATGCTGACTCTCTCATGGAATTGCTAGAAAGATATGATGATATGTCAGTTTAAAAAAAAGATTTCAAAATCTGTAAGACCTATATAAAGAGCTGTTTTTGTAATAGACATCATTCAAAGGAGGGGGATACAAATGCATTTGGTACAAAAGATGGTTTTGCAGAGGTAAGGGGTAAACATGGAATCAGGCAAGATTGGACCAGTTAAAGGACAACAATGGGGTTTCAGGAAGAGAAAGCAAGCTGGACACAAATGATGCCCCAAACAAAGGACTCAGAGCTTAACATGAACCAAGTCTTTAGTATCAATCAGCTACAAGTTTCCATATAAGATTTAGGTACAAAGGAAATCCTCACTGCTGTTAAATTACCAAAAGCACTGACTCTGTCAAGATTGCAACAAAAAAATGGAAATCAACTGGGAATAACTAGAAAATACAATATATAAGCTGGCACTCATTTGCAATCTGAGGCTAGTTTTTGTATATGCTGGCATGAGCATGTTTCCTTCCATTCAAGGGACAGAAATGACAATTTGCCACCATCCTCCCCACTGCCATCCAGTCCCAGAAGAGACCCATAACACATAATACCCATACTAAGCCTGCTATTTGTGATGTTGTACATATAGTAACTGTGCCTTAAATAAGATATTAAGCAGTATCATGAGGAAAAAAATATATACCAGCTAGAATCAGATAGGTGTCACAAAGTATGAGAAACTCAACACAAATGTGGTTGCCCCCTGTGCTGTCTGTAAAGCCTCAGCAGATGCTTGTGCATAAACCCAGAACACAGTACTTCTCTCATGGTGGAAACCTGCCCAGGGCCAAGGGATAGAAGCCTGCTAAGTCACAATCAAACAAATGCCCTCCTCCCAGGTTGCCAATTGTACTTGAAGATTTAGAATAAAGGTAGGAAGATGAGTATAATCATTTACTTTTCATTAAGACAAACAGATATGGAAATGAACAAAAGCTTTCCCTAAATATAAAACAAGAGACTTAGAAAAAAATTATTTCCTTATCACTTCAGGTGATGCCTCAAGATTCCTGGGGCCTGTGTTCAATCTCCTCCCCCTGGGTTAGTTGGTGGAAGTTTGGAAAGTGCTGCTATAGAAGGAGAACACACAGACTGTTAAGTACTTCCAACATTACCACCACCACCGAGTTGTAAAATCTGAAGCTCACTTTCTTGTCAGTCATTTATAAAGTTCAAGTCAGAATCTTCAGGTATGTTTCACTTGTCTGGAATCAATCTCCTCTTGAAACAGGCACATCAGAGAAAGCACATGGATGACCTCAGCTATAATAAAGGGGGTGATTGTGATTAGAACTGTCGGATGACTCACTTCTGATAAAATCAGTGCTACTAATCTTCCCTTAGGCACACATTCACTCAAGTCCTATGATGATGTGATCCTTTCCTACATATTCTAACAGACATTTCTGCCCGGCTATAAGGAATCCTCCTCTTGGCCCATTTTCTGTTCTTATTTTTGCATGCTAGCAAGTATCACTTGTAACTGCTCTCCAGCCACACCATCTTTCATTACCTGCTAACCTTAAGCTTTTGTAAATGAAGAGCATTGCTATTCCTTTACTGTAGACTTCCAAGAGTTTCAAATAATGCTATGGATGATTAGTAATTGTCACATAAGACATGTTTGGATCTTCTCTTTGACAATTACTACCTATACGCCTTGGACTTGACCCCCTAAAGTCTCAATTTCCTTGTCTATAAAAGAGGATGACCACTAATTTTTGTGTGGGCTACCATGAAGACTGAATGAGATAGCACATAAAGAAGTATTTATACACTGCCTCGTATACATGGCCCTCAATAAATACCACTTCACTTGCTTTACTTCCTTCAAAGTAAAACACATATATGTTTCATTGCTTGGATAGAAAACAAAATAAAGCCCATATTTATTGAGTACATTTCCCTAAGATAAAGTTCAGAGTATAGTTGTAAACAAGCAGTAAATATTAAATGGCTAGATCAGAGAAAACAAAACACTTTCCAAGCATTCTGAATTGCCATACATAATTGCAAGACATTCCCTTGGAAACAGGAATTCATGATTCAAATTATTTGTTCTTATTCAAATTATTTGTTCTCTAGGGCTGGGCAATGCTGTGTCCCATTTCCAGCATAATTAAAGGACATCGTTTTCTCTACACTTGTTTTATTATGAATTGCCTACTTTTCAAAGGCTCTGCTTGCTAGAGCATAGCCTGCATTTTTTAGCTGGTCAATCAAGGTTTTGGCCAGCAGGCCTAATCTTTCCTTTTGTCTCCTTCGCTATCTGAATACTCTAATTTACTGTTTCCTCAGCACACAGCCTACCTCTTCCCATTTCTTCACCTTGCCTCACTTTGCCTCCCATGATGATTTTTCTTAACGAATTCTCCCAAGTTTATATATGTATATATGTGTGTACATATGTATAAACATTTGTGTACATATGTATAAACATTTTGGCCCTACTAAATTCTTTTTTTGTTTTTTACATTGGCGTCTCACTCTGTCACCCAGACTGGAACGCAGTGGCTGCTACAGCC